AGCAGGATACTGAAGCCCACAGAGAAGAAGTTTGCTTCTTTTACTTCAGAGGCTGCATCTAGTGGAGGGCAGTGTCCCAGATCACCACGGACCAGTGTGAAAATCTCTGCTCTCTAATCACTCACGTGGGTTTCTGTAGCTGGCAAGTCCAGGAGGACTCAAATGTAGCCCTTCTGAGCTGCTGGTAGACTTCTCCTGGGCTGGAGAGGGAGCCTGGGGAGATGAGCCTGATGAATTTAGGCTCTGGAAATACTCAGCAAGCTGTTTGTTGCTGCAGTTTCACAGAAGATGGTAAAATATATTCTTATATCTAACCCAAGATATATTCTTATATCTAACCTAAATCGAGGGCAGAGTTAGGTTAGATATAAGAAAGAAATTCTTCCCTCTGAGGGTGGTGAGGCACTGGAACAGGTTGCCCAGAGAAGCTGTGGCTGCCCCATCCCTGGAGGTGTTCAAGGCCAGGTTGGATGAGGCTTTGGGCAACCTGGTGTAGTGGAGGGTGTCCCTGCCCATGGCAGGGGGGTTGGAACTGGATGATCTTTGAGGTCCCTTCCAACCCAAACCATTCTATGATTCTATGAAAATTGTTCTCCACTTCAATAGCAAAGCAGCTCTGGGAGGCAGCTTTATCCCTTAGAGAGCTGTGAGGACCTCAGGGTGGTGCTCTGGGCTTGGAGTTTGTATCAGGGGAGACTTTCTCCCTGGATGTACTGGCCTCGTGTGGTCCCGAGGTCGCGTGAAAGTGCTGGTACGGATGGCATCACCAACCTCAGTCCTGTTTCTCCTTGTAGGAGTGCTGAGGGAGTAGGAGTAAAGCTGTCACACCACTGAGTCTGGGAGGATTTTTGCCTTTTTTTTTAATTATTTTTTATTTTCAGATGATGCTCTTCGAGTACTGGTGTTTGCATTATTCAGGTGCTTGGGCTCAGCCTTGAGAGACTGGTGCCACGGGGCCTGCGAGCCCGATGTGTGAATCACAGAATCCCAGAATGTCAGGGATCAGAAGGGACCTCAAAGGATCACCTAGTCCAATCCCCCTGCCGGAGCAGGACCACCTAGATCAGATCACACAAGAACGCATCCAGGCGGGTTTGGAACATCTCCAGAGAAGGAGGCTCCACAACCTCTCTGGGCAGCCTGTTCCAGTGTTGTGTTCCCCTTACTGGGAAGAAGTTCTTCCTCATGTTTAAGTGGAACCTCCTGTGTTCCAGCTTAGATCCATTTCCCCTTGTCCTATCATTGGATGCAGGAGCAACGGCAGCAGAGTCTTCCTCCCGTTTGTGCCGTGCAATAACACTTTGGTTTCTCTTGCAGGTCTCAAGCAGCTGTTGAAACAAGGGTCGGTGCAGAAGGTGTACAACGGATTGCAGGGATATTGATGGCTGGAAAAATTTGGACTTAATTGAAAATGAAGAGTCCGATTTGTTTGCGGTCTTTTCTCCTGCCCGCTGTAGAATGGAAAAAGAGGGAGGGTGGGGCAATTGTTAAGCTATATATAATTTTTTCTTTGTAAATTGTGGAAGTGCTCGGATGAGTTGGAGGAAATTCTACGCTTTTCAGGACATAACTGGTGCTGCCTATCATGTTCCACGTCCTGGAACAACAAAGAGACTCCTCGAGCAGGAAAAAAAAAAAAAAAAATTGAGGAAAGGAGTTTTAAATTCCACGCAGGTTGGAATTTCTGGGGTTTTTTAAATATATTTTGATGTGACTTTTCTTGACCATCTCAACGTATTTTCGTAGCTTCTCCTGCTTTTTACGTCCTTTGTGTCAGTCTCTTCCGAGTTTCTGTTGGTTTGGGTTTGTTTGGGTGTTTTTCAATCCCAGCCCTTCCTCCTTTTCCCCTCGGAATCCAGAGTGTGGTATTGCTTCAGGATCTGTGTTTCTGGGGTAGGAATAGAGACAGTGTTGGGAGTGGACTGGCAGGAGAGCCTTTATGGAATAGGTTAGGCCTCACATATGGTTAGAAAAGCAGGAAAAAGAGTTTTTTTTAAGGCTCCTGTGGACTCTCTTAACCACCAAGTAGTCCTCTTGTCCTAAAAGTTAACACTTGGTTTTAAATTTGGAGTCACAATGGCTTAGCAATGGTGACTACAAATTTAAATTCCAATTAGCTCAGGCTTTTACGGTGGGATTTTTGGAAAAATAACAGGAATGGGTCCTCATGTTCTTGGTTCTTCCTCGTTGCCCCCCCCCACCCTCCAAATGTAACGAACAGCTTGTCTGGAAAAGTCCACTTAGCTCCTGCACTCTGTCCTCTGTGAGGACGGGTGAAGCTAACGGCGCAGAAATAAAGATGTTTGAGTTGGAATGGCAAAAACTCCCTGGTTCTGTGTTTCAGCAGCCCTTCCCCTGGTGCAGCTGCAAGTCACAGGACTGAAGGAACGGTCCCTTCGGAGATCCGAGCTGGGAGCTGCTGTGAAGGGCGAAACTACCACCACTAATCCCAGCAAAAAGCTCTGGAGCTGCTTTAATTGATCCGAGGACGTGGTAGCCTGGCAGAGGGGTACCTGTGCTGCTCTGGTCTCTTTTGGGAAGACTTTGCTGCTTTAAGCATCCCCATCGGAGACTCATCTCCATGTGTTCTTCAGGAGCAGTAGCTGAACAGTTTCTCGGCGGTGCTTGTGCCAGCCTCGTGCTTCGCGGCGACGGGGATGTAGGCAGCAGGAGAAATGAGTCAGTCGTTCGGGTAGGATGGTGTTCTGCTCCTTCCCTCTGGAGTGGGATCCTTCCAGCTGCTGCCTTGTACCTCATGCCCTGCCTGGGAAGCGGATGGGATCGGTGTTTTCCGCACGGAAACGTTTGCTGGGAAGCAGCAGGAGACTCAAGGTAGTTTTTTGGGGTTTGGTTTTTGTTGGTTGGTTGGGGTTTTTTTTCTACGTTGTGAACTTTGAAGTAGCTCAGATCTGAGCTCGGAGAGGTGGAGAGCGGCTCTGGCCCACCCCTCGTGTGCTGCCCTTGGGTGAGCAACGTCCCACCCAACCCTTCAACTCCAGCGGAAGCAGCGGCACCGGGAAGGTTTCCTGTTGGATCCTACGTAGATTTACCTTGGCAGAGTGAAGCGGAGGCGTCGGGAATAGCTGAGAGAGGGGGGCGAGACACCCAGAACACGAAACCCTTGGTCTCGCTGCTCCTCTTCCTCAAAATTCATCAGTGTAAGCTGTTAATCTCAGCTGAGGCTGCTGCCCCAGTGTCTGCCCATTTGATGACCAGCTCTTTCCAGGTGTCTGTGGGCAGCTCCCCCTTCCCCCCTTAGCTTAGATGTTGAAGGAACCTCAGATTTCCAAAGAAATTCTCCTTCCGCTATCCCCGCGCGTGGGGCTGGTTCCCGTTGGCTCAGTCCCTCGAGGGTCCGTTTGCTGTCCTGTTCTACCGGTGCACGACCGTGCTGCCAGTGCTCACCTGTAGCAATAAACCCCAAAATCTGGGATTTCACACCGGAATCTCAACTTCTGCACGGGAGAGAGTTCGGCCGCGGTGTGACCTTCCCGACCCGCGCCCCTCGCAGCAGGCAGTGCGTTTGTTTCGGGCATGAATACTGGTTCCTGTCGCTGCTTTTCCTTTCCCTGCTGATTCTTTTCCTTCCTGTGGTTTTTGGGTTGGGTTTTGGTTTATTTTTCCTTTTCATTGTGGGTCCGTACTCCTCCGTGAGGCCGGTAGAACAGCAACAATAGCTGCAAAGCCCCAGTTTTCACCAGGGTGAAAAGAAAACCAGAGAAGAAAGCCCCAAATCCCACCAAGCCGCCCTGCTTCCTTCCATCAGCCTTTTCCCCCCTGCTGCGATGTGTGTGCGGAGCTGGGATCCTCCACCTTCCCACTTTGGTGTCTGGGCAGGGGGACATGGAAGGTGTTGGGTGTCTGTGACATTCTGTGTCCCCCATTTCAGTAGCGTTTAGCTGGTGTGAGTGAGTCGTAGCACGTATGGACTCCTTTATCTCATATAAATGCTTCTTAGGAGGCTTGGGTCTTCACATGGCCTCTTCTTGGTTTGGGACCAAGCAAGCATCTTGAAGGTGAGAACCTCTGAGCTGGGAGTGCTGTAACGCGGTCGTAATTTCCAGCCCCTTCTAAGCAACGCTGCTGTTATCAAATTAAAAAAAATCACACTACTTTCCTGGTCCCCTTTTACCCTAAATCCTTGCACAAGTCAAGGATTGTTGAGGGTTTAGATCCAGGCATGTTGTCCACTTCATCTAGCAAAACACTCGTCCTTGACAAACGCTTCTAGAAGTCCTTGCTCTTTGCAGAAGGGGATGTTCAAACAAGCACAGGGTCCTTGCCTGGCTAAAACAGGATCCTGATTTATTTCTGAAGTGAATGGTTGGGAGCCTCCAAGAAAGCTGGAGAGGGGCTT